TAGCTGGTACAATAAAACAACAAAAGGAAATAAACGATATACACATTGGGAAGGAGGGAATAAAATTCTCTTTGTCTGCAGATGACATGATTGTCTGTAAAGAAAATCCAAAAGAATGCACAAAAGTAACTCCTGGAACTAAGAAGTTATTATAAGTTGTAGAATACAGAGTTAATTTACAAAAGTCTACTGCTTTCCTATGTAGTATCAATGAACAAGTGAATTTTGAAATTAAAACCACAATACCATTTACATTAGCACCTACAAAAGTGAAACACTTAACTAAAAGTCAAACAAAACATGCACACGACTTGTATGAGGAAAGCTACAGAACTCTGATGAATGAAATCAAAGAACTAAATAAATGGAGAGATATTCCATGTTCATGAACAGGAAGACTCAATATTGTCAAGAGTCAATTCTTCCCAGCTTGACTTACAGATCCAGTGCAATTCCAATCTGAATTCCAGCAAGTTATTCTATGAATATTGATATTCTACAGTTTATATGAAGAGGCAAAAGACCCAGGATAGCCAATACAGTATTGAAAGAGAAGAGCAAAGTTGGGGGATTGATATGTTCAGATTTTAATACAGACTACAGATCTAGAGTGATTAAAAAAAAAAACACTCTGGTACTGGCATGAGTATAGAGATACGGAACAATAGAATGGAACAGAAAGTCAAACTAAATCCATACATATATGTTCAATTGACATTTTAAGAGAAATTTTTTAGAGTCGTTTTAGTTTACCACAAGATTGAGGAGGTACAGGGATTTCCCATCTACTTCATGCTCCACTCATGCATAGTTTCCCCATTAATAACATCACTCAGCAGAACTCTACATTTTTTTTTTTTTTTTACCAAGAATGAACCTACGTTGACACATCATAATCATCTGAAGTCCATAGTTTACCCTACAGTTCACTTTTGATGTTGCAGACTCTGTGGTTATGTACAGAAGTTTAATAAAATATATCCATGATTATAATATCATACAGAGTATTTTCAGTGCCCTACAAATCCCTGTGATCTGCCTATGCATTTATCTCCCCTGGCCTCCACTCAACCTCTGGCAACCACTGATTTTTTCATCTGTCTCCATAATTTTGCCTTTTCCAGAGTGACATATACTTGGAATCATAGAGTTTATCACCTTTTCAGATAGGTTTCTTCACATAGCACTAGGCATTGAAGTTTCCTCCTTGTCTTTTTACAGCTTGATAGCTCATTTCGTTTTATGGAAGAAGAATATTCTATTTTCTGGATGTACCACAGTTTATCCATTCACCTGCTGAAGGACATCCTGGTTGCTTCCAAGTTTAGGTAATTATCTATAAAGCTACTGCCTTAATTAAGGTTTTGTGTAGACATAAATTTTCAACTCCTTTGGATAAATAACAAGGAGCACAGTTACTGGATCATATGATAAGCCTATGTTTAACTGTAAGCAACTACCATAATTTCATCAAAAGCTGCTGTACCACTTTGCATTCCCATTAGCAATGTATGAGAGTTCCTGTTGCTCCATGTCCTCTCCAGCATTTGGTGTGGTTAGTCTTCCAGATTTTAGCCATTCTAATACTTCTGTAGTGGTATCTCATTAGTGGTACCTCGATTTTTTGGGAGGGAGGGTGAGGATGATTGCCCCTGAGCTAACATCTATGGCAATCTCTCTCTATTTTTTGTATATGAGATGCTGCCACAGTGTGGCCTGATGAGCGATGTGTAGGTCCTTGCCCTAGATCAATCCTGTGAACCCTGGGCAACCGAAGTGCAGCATGGGACTTAACCACTATGCCAGCTGGCCAGCACTATCTCATTGTTTTCTTAATTTGAATTTCCATGATGACACATGATATGGAGGATCTTTTCATGTTTCTTGCCATCAGTATATCTTCTTTGGAGACATGTCTGTTAAGGTATTTGGCCCATTTTTTTAATCAGGTAATTTCTTTGACTATTCTTGAGTTTTCAGGGTTTTTTGTATATCTTGGATAAGGGTCCTTTGGCAGATGTGTCTTTTGCAAAGGTTTGTCCCAGTCTGGGGTGTGTCTTCTCATTCTCTTGATATGGACTCTCACAGAACAGAAGGTTTTAACTTTAATGAATCTGTTTTACCAATCATTTCTTTCATGGATCAAGGCTTTGGTATTGTCTCTAAAATGCCATCACCATACCCACGGTCATCTAGGTTTTCTCCTGTGTTATCTCCTGGGTACTTTATAGTTTTGCATTTTACATTTAAGCCTATGATCCATTGTGAGTTAATTTTTGTGAGGGGTGTAAGGTCTGTGTCTCAATTAACTTTTTTGCGTGTAGAAGTTCAGTTGTTTCCACGCCATTTCTTGAGAAAACTCTCTTTGATCCCTTGTATTGCCTTTGCTGCTTCATCAAAGAACAGTCAACTATATTGATGGAGCTCAATTTTGGGGCTCTCTATTCTGTTTCATTCATCTACTTATATATTTTTTCGCTAATACTACACTGTCTTGATTGATCCCTTGCTTTGGACAAGAGCTCCAAGAAAATTAAACGAAAAGAAAAGTCTTTGGACTAAAGTGGCACTGTGACAAATGGATAGCCACATGCAAAAGTATAACTTTGTACCCATAATTTTCACCAGATACAAAAATTAACTCAAACTGTAGCAAAGATTTAAATGCAAATACTAATGCTATCAAATTCTTAGAATGAAACCTAGGTGTAAATCTTCATGAGTGTGGATTAGGCAGCAATTTCTTATATATAACACCAAAAGCACAAGCAACAAAGGAAAAAATAGATAAATTGGAATTCATCACATTTAAAACTTGTTTTGCATCAAGGGACAGTATCAAGAAAGTAACACAGACAACCTAAAAACAAGAGAAAACGTTTGCAATTGAGAAGTCTAATAAGTGCCAGGGATCCAGATTACATAAAGAACACTGGAAACTCAAAACAACAAATACAGAAGATAGCTTAAAAATGGGCAAAGGATTTAAATAGACATTGCCCCAGAGAAGACATAGAAATGGCAAGGAAGCACATGAAAAGGTGTGCAATATGGTTAATCATAAGAGGAATGCAAAGCAAACTACAGTGGAGTACTAGTTCACACCCTCTATGGTGAACATAATTTTTTAACATGACAACTTCTGAATTTGGGTGAGAATATGGAGAAACTGGAACCCTCATACAGTCCTGGTGGAAATGTAAGATGGTACACTCATTGTGGAAAGCATTTTGGCATCTCCTCAAAAAAGTTAAAGGTGGAGTTACCATACAAATTTCCACTGCTAGATATTTATCCATGAGAAATGGAAATATATGGTCACACAAAAACTAGTACAAGAATGTTCACAGCTGCAGTATTCATAATAGCCAATAAGTGAATACAATCTAAATGTCTATCAGCTGATAGACAGACAAACAAAGGTGGTATATCCATACATTGGAATATTAGTCATAAAAAGGAAAGAGGTATGAGTATGTGCTACAACAGGGATGAACCTTGAAAACCTTGAGCTACATGAAAGTGTCGTTCACAAAAGACCACAAACCATAGATAGAGATCTATACTTATCTATATCTATATATATTTCATTTCATGTGAAAGACATACACATATCCTATGATTCCATTTCTATGAAATGCCCAAAATAGGCAAATCCACAGAGGAAGGAAGTAGTTTAGTGGTGGTCATGGATTGATGGGGAATTGGGAAGTAGCGGTGTTTTGTTTCTTTCTTTTGGGAATGGGAGAGATGATGGAAATGTTCTGAAATTAGATAGTGGCGATAGTTGTAAAACATTGTGAAGAAATATTTACAAGAAAATACAGAATTGTCTGCTTTAAAATGTCAAGTTTTAAGTTTTATGAATTTTATGTCAATTGAAAACACCCTGTTTCTCTTATGAAACGTCAGATTTTAAATGTTGTTAACTTTCCTGTGTCTCTTTCATTATAGCTGAAATTTGGAGCTGATGTGTATCCAAGAAGATTCTTCTAAAAGCCAAGTTCCAAAACATGTGAGATGTGGGAGGCTGGCTCACAAAGCTTGTGTGGAAATAGTCGTGCAGTGAGGTGGATCCCCATTCACGAATGGATACGAACTTCCACCAGTACACTGATCGTTCCTAGAGGACAGTTACAGTATTTCCTTTTGTTGACCACCTTTTCGCTATCAGTGTACAGGCCTCAGGGCATGGTAGGCTTTCTTGTTAATAATTTGACGCATAAAAGTAAGAAGAAAAAAATAAAAATCCATTTTAAAAATAAAAGTAATATATGTATATGAATGTGTCAAAATTCACTGAATAATGTTTTTTATATGGGTTCTCTGTAATGAAAATGGCCATGAAAGTGAGTGCATTTTTATCATGTGGCTCTAAAAAGGTACTTTCTACTAAATGTTTTCGTTAAGAATTAATACTAAAGAAGGTAAACGAATGAGCACCTCCCAGAGAGATCACTCTTTTAGAGGTGAAATGTTTAGTCAAAAGAAGAGCAGGCCTGATATCATATATGTAGTAGATTGATACTTCTCTTCCAGTAGTCAATCTACAATTCTGCCACTAGAATCATGCCTTAAATGAACATTTGCCCACCCAAATAAAACCTGCTTCTCCCTGGCTGAGAGACGGAGAGAAATGGAGAAGCTTAGGACTTGGACCACTAACGAAAATCCTAGATGGATGAAGGCAGAGTTGCCTGGCATCCCAGGGTTACCAAACTATCTTTGGACTGATTTGTGAGAGATAAAGAAAGCAATATAACTTCTTCTCCCAAACCTCAGATGCTGTGCAATATCATTGGATGGGCTCTGCAATTCATTCAATTGTACACATGTCCTATATTTTAGAATTGAAGTCTATATTTCCTAACCTTTAGGATCATAGATTGACCTGGAGTACTTGTTATAAGTCAAGCTCCCAGATCTCTCTCCTAGAGGTTTTGATTCTTTAGGATAAAGAAGAGCCCAAGTGTCTGTACTGTTAATAAACATCGAAGTAATGCATTATGTGTTCATCTTTGAAAATATTTCTTTAATATTATTACCAAAAGTATTTGTGTGCTGCACCCGGTAACCTACCAAAGAAAGAAACGGTATTTTAAGAAAGATGCTATTATGTAACTTCTATTGATTAAAATATTTGTGGTTGTAAATTACATTAGGCTTTATATTATCAAATAAAATGAAAGATAGTTTTTCAACTGCCACTGATAAATCAACATAGAGGATAAAAATCTTTCAATCACAGATTCTTAGAATTAGAAATATTCTTCAACATCCTACAGTCCATCCTGTATGCAACAGCAGGCTTTCTTTGGTCATCTGGTAATTTAAAGTTCTGATTGAGAAGACTCTAATTGCTTGTAGAATCCACCACAAAATGGGATTGCAATAAAAGGCATAGGAACGTGTAGCTCTAGCAGAGTCAGCATGCACCATAACGAGTAAAATCAAATCTTCCACGAGAAGCGCTGTAAGAAAGAAAAAGACAAAGAAAAAGAAAGAAATTATTAAAAGAACATTTAAAATTGCCTGTGTATTGCATTAACAGCTTCTCCATGAGGAGGCTTTGAACATAGAAGAAGAGAGGTTGTGCTCCACAGCCACAAGCAGCTGGGCCCTGCCTGCTCCCCAGGCCTGCACACGTCCTCCCCTGACCTGGGCTCCATGACTCTCCCTACATGCTCAGTCCTGACTCAGTCTTGGAACCTGCCCAGATCTGAGAGAGGACAGGACCAGAGATTGTCTTAGAGGTCCTCTAGAAGTAGAAGCCAAGTAGAGGATTAAATGAGAGGAAACACCTGTGAGGGAAAATGGGCTTGCACAAAGGTTGGCCAAAACTGTAGACTGCAGACTCCTTTAGAGTGAAGGACACAGGAAGGGAGGTCAGGTGGAAGTGTCCTAGAATGCCCTGCTCTCTGAGGAAGGTTAGGAGTCTGTCATGGAGTTCAGGAGCCCAAGTGGACCAGCAGAGGAGTCCCTTCCAGCAGGAATAGGCCCATTGTGATGGGTTTCAGAGTTCTGTAGTCAGTAAGGTTTTTGCTCAGTCCCGCTCCCTGTAGCTTGCAGCTACATCTCGGAGGTTATCACTTAGCATCTGGACACGGAATTACCTTTTATTGAACATTAGACTTCCATTCGTAAGTCATAATAATTAAATTAAGTTAATTAGTTTCTACATTGGTGGAATATCCCGTAGAGTTATAATGAGAGGTCAAATACAAAACTGCTTTTAGAAATGAGAACTTAAGGGATAGGCACAAGTGTGTGTCTGTGGCTTTTACAGAGATATTTTCCAAAGACACTGAGCCTACATTATCAGAAATGTGCATTTTCCTATCACTTTGTGATGGTTTCTTCATTATTTTGAAGGAGCTAATATTTAATTTTGCATTCTTACATCCTTTCCCTGCAGAAAATGCATGGATTGCGATAAGTCTGGCCATTGGTTGCGCAGATCAGCTTCCTTTCTCTGTTGCATAAATGCAATCGATCTTTATACACGTGACAGTCTGGTGCCTAAACATAAGAAGACAACATAAAATTTATCAGATAATAAACTGTCTGCATAAAGTATTCTTTGTTCTTAATACAAAATGTGATACATCAAAAAGGTATAAATACATTGTATATTGAGATTTAAAAAGAAACATTAAGGTACCCACAACACACTTAGACATAAAATACTATTGATGTATTTTTACAAACACGTTATTTTTTGAAAACCTACAAAGGGTAGAATGTGCTTTCATAATTGAGCCACTCTGCCCCCATGTCTTCTCACACCTGGATCAGATATCTCCCATTACTTCATACCACCAAAAACCCTAAAAGTGAATTTTCTGTAATTCCCTTGTCTTTCTCATGAGTTCCACTACTAGATGCTCTGATTTCAGATCATCACTGCCTATGTATTTATTCAAATATATGACTGTTTGTATGTGGGTATACAATAATATACATATACATGTAATGTGTTTAGTGATGGTAGTGCTGGGAATTTACATAAATGATCAATACTGGGTGTATTCCTACATGACTCGCTTTTAAACGTCTTTGTAACATTTATCTATTCAGGTGTTTAGAACTACAGTTAATTTATTTCACCTCTATGTAACATTCCACTCCATGAATGAATGAAAATTTTTGTTTACCTAATTGTAAGTGGAAAATTTTTTTAAATCTTCCTTTTCTTCTAGGGTAAACAATTCTACTTTGAACACCCCTTAACCGATATCCAATGCTTGTATATAACAAGACTTACACATGGTACTGGAATTTTTGAATAGCGGGATATTTTTACCTTGACTATAGAGCCAAATGATGCTTTCGTGTGTGTGTAATGAAGATTAGCCTGGAGCTAACTTACACAGCCAATCCTCCTCTTTTGGCTGAGGAAGATGGACCCTGAGCTATCATCCATGCCCATCCTCCTATACTTTATATGTGGGATGCCTGCCACAGCATGGCTTGACAAGCAGTGTGTAGGTCCTCACCCAGGATCTGAACTGGCGAACCCCAGACCATGGAAGCAGAGTGCTTAAACTTAACCACTTCCCACCAGGCTGGCCCCCAAATGATCTTATAAGGGTGGTGAGATTCTATTTCTTGAACTCAGTATAATAACAACACAGGTTTTTTTTTTCTTCTTCTTTTCTCCTTGTGGAGGATCATACTCTTGTGCGTTTTGTTTGATGAAATTTGCTATGAAAACTTACAATATAAAAAAAAATTACCAGTTTTACGTTTTCAATTCCCAAATTAATTGATAGTAACTTACCGTTCCTGGTGATAATAAAGCAGTTTCTGCAACCGAAACACACAAAAAAGATTAAAACTAAGAAGAAGAGGGGAACACTAACTGAGTATCTGGTGCAAAGTTCTCCCATCTTTTTGTAGCAAAATACCAGGCAAATTACCTACTCCAGACCCTGCAAGTAATGAGGGGAGCCTTTCGGATGGTAGCAAAACAATAGGTTCACAAAATAGCTCCAAATCTGGAAACATAATTCCCAAATAACCTCACTCTGTGAAGAAAAACAATTTTGTGTATTGTTTAGTAATCACAAAACCCTGCTTTTTTCCTGTCTTTTTTATAGATGAGACATCCACGTCAGAGACGACAATGCCTTGCTTAATACCATTCATTATACCTTGCATAAAGTCACTTAATATGAAGAAATTAATTACTAAATTAATTAGTGCTCAGGTCCAAGATCAGGGATCTATCCAATACCTTACAGCTACTTTTTACTCTGAAATTCATGGGCCACCTTATGCTTTAAAGAAGGTAAGTTGTCAATAGAGGGAGGGATGGGTTCTCTCCTCACACGAAGCCTGGGCTCTGCTCAGAGCTGTCAAACAACAAAGCAGATTTTCAAAGAACTCCAGATCTAGAAGACATCATTACTCCCCACACTTTGCTCTCAGCAGTCATGGAATGTGACCTCCAAAACCTCTTCACCTCTAAACATAGGTAAATGGCTTTCATTGTAGGTGGAGGAAAAGCTAGGTTCCACTGCACATTCTAACCCACCTCTCTGTCTCCACGTCTCTAAAGTGGGAAAGAAGAGAGAGAAAACGACGGATGCAGTTTTTAAAGGGATATTTGTAAACTGCTCTGTTTCATTTTGCCAGTTTAAGTATTACAAACCCAATAAAACAAGCTCCTCATCCCTAGACCATAGCAGTTGTTTCCTAAATTTTCTAAGATATGAGAAATTCTTCATCCAGGATTGAAAAATTTACTCACCAGAATGTGGAGGAAACAGCAAGACAATGATGAAAATAGCTTTCATCCATGATGAGAAGAAAGACATTTTGTCAAGTCTGTAGAAGAAAACCATAGGACTGTTCGTAACACATGGCACAGGGACAAATGACCCATTTCCCGATGAAAGTTTCTTATGGGTGAGGAAACTGCTCTACTCCCCTAGAGTCCTAACTATAGGGGACTATCCCCTTTTTTCTTCCTCCAACTCAGAATCAACAAGACATGCGTGTGAACAGAAGGCCTCATAGAGACTCAAGAGAAACACTAGGACAAGTCCTCCGTGCACATCTGAGAAGGAGCCATTTGCTCTCCCAAGCCTTTGGCTCAGCCCACAGGGAGCTTGGCTGCATTTAAGGAAACATGCACTTGGGAATCTCAGTTTTTCCTCAGAAAAATACAAGCAGTTCTTTCAGGAAGGACTCAGTTGCAGCTGTCCTCACAGCAATGCTCTTCACCAGGGCTCCCTCCATAGGGTCCCCGCCGGACCTACCTGAAACAGAGAAGGCCGTGGGGAGCGAGGCCGACACCTCCACGGACCGTGCCGAGCTTGTTCACCTCTTCTTCCCAACCACAGCCACCCAGCTGACGCGCTTCCTTTATTGACCTGTTGGTGAAGACCTCTCTGGGGGTGAGACAGATGCCTCCCGGCAGATAAGACACTGAGGTATTCTGTGTTCTTCCTGAAGGCTATAAAGGAACTCGTGACAGAGGCCTCACAAGGAATCCTCTGCAGATATTGCCTCTGCAGGAGATTTGGGACAGTTTGGTCTGATGTACCCAGAAGTATGGGGAAGGGAGGAGGTAAGATCACTGCTCCGAAACCCTTAGAGATGAGATATGAAATCTTCCTAAGCTACCGAATAGGAAGGAAAGGAGAATCAAAACAGGAAAGAGAATGAGTTTTGGGAACGGTGAGTAGACAAGTACCTAGACCCTTAGCACTTGGCAACACTAGAAGCACATTAGGCTCATTTAGAGATTTGATTTTGATTAAAGTTTTGCTTTGAGAAAACTGGAGATTCTCATCAAGCTGTAAGTCAAATGCAGAGAGTTCTCATGTCCCTTTCATCCATTTTCCCCTGATGGGAACATCTTGTAAAACTATGGCACAATTTCACAATCAGGAATGTTGACAAAGCTCCCAGATAGCTGTTGGGGCCACAGGCTTGGTGACCCCGGGCTGGAGGACAGCTTGTGAATACTAAGAAGAGGAGAGAAAGAAGGCTCAGGTGTGAGATTGAGACCAGGACGGACATGGCCCTAAATTGTAGGTTGAATAACTGGACCTTTACCTCAAAGTGAAGCGGGAGACCCTGTAGGGTTTGAGTGGGAGGAGATTTCATCAGAGCTGTTTAGCTGATCTGCTCCACAGCCTGACTCTGCGCAAAGAGCGTTGGCAGATGAAAGTCCTGAGTTCAAATCCCATCCACCACCAGGCAGCCTGGACACCGTATTCAGGCTATGGAATCCACAATTTCCTACTTTTAAACGTGATAACAATAACTTCTGTCACGTAGATTTGTTATAAATATTAGGGATATAATATTAAAACAGTCTGCACTTAAGTTGTCTGTTACACTTACATTTGTCACCCTAATCTAACTTGCCTTTTTTATCAGTGAAGAAAGCCAGGATTTAGACAAGAACCTTTGAGTCTAGCACTGTTTCATGCCGATTCAATGCAAGGATCCCAATTCTGGTAAATGCATAAAGTTTTCCTTTATTGTACTAATGTGACTATTGTACTGATGCTGGCTCTTTGAAATTGTTACATGGACACTGTCCGAGACAGTTGTGCAGGCCAATTGTTCCGGCACATGACATTGGAGGGAAAGAACAAGTGAACTTTTGAGTTGAATTTATTGGGAAATCCTTATGACTCTCGCACTGGACTTTTTCTCTTGCACGTGTTCATCAGTAAAGATTAAGCACAGGAGACACTGCCTGTGATGAACAACAGGCCAGAAGATTTTAAAAAGAACCACTAAAGGGAATGTTAGAAGTATGCATTATTTGATGCACAGCTATCTTTTCTGAAATGTTTAATAGCATAAATATGTGTATATGCATAGATGTATACATATTTAATATACAACTATACTAAAATCACACACAAATATATACATGGGTATATATTTAAAGATATATCCACGTGTATATATATGTGTGCCTGCTTGTGTATGCATATAAATATGCATGTATACATCTTTATATGTTTCTATACATGCATATATGTAATAACACATATTTTATATTCAATTATATATTATCATTATATATATACATATATACAGAGTATATAGGTATAGACATTTATGCATTTATCTCTCTATATAAATTATCTAGGTGAGCTCCATATGTCATCATACATGTTCGTATAAAAGATGGACAAGAGGAGATTTCATGCAGACACAGAGGAAGACAGAGCTGAGAGAAATGTAAAGATGCTGGCCTTAAAGGTGGTAGAAGAAGATGATGGATACATGGATAGATAGATAGATAGTTAGGTAGATACATAGATAGACAGATACATATGTAGACAGATAGATAGATAGAAATAGAACAACAAAATCAAAGTATTTCTCGTGACTAGCTTTTTTCATTTAACTGTCAATGAAGTATCTTCATATCAGTATATACAAATATACATATTTCCTTTAAAGAAATAAAAATTGGAATATAACATATTCCAAATTCTTCCCAACCTCAAGCTCCCTGTATTTCAGTTTTTTGGGTTTTTCTTTAGGAAGATCAGCCCTGAGCTAACGTCCATGCCCACCTTGCTCTGCTCTATATGTGGGACGCCTGCAACAGCATGGCTTGATAAGCGGTGCATAGGTCTGTGAACAGGATCTGAACTGGTGAAGCCCAGGCCACCAAGGCAGAGAGTGGGAGCTGAACCAGTACACCACAGTGCCAGCCCCTTGATTTCAGTATTTTTTTTCTCTGTTGGTAAGATTGTCTAAGAATGTTAGGCGACAAAGAGTTTCTTCTGTGTGCTCTTCTAAAATTTTTACAGTTTTACTTTTTACCCTTAAATCTACGCTTCGTTTTATTTTAATCTTTTAAAAGGTGTGAATTTTAGTTGTGTTCACTATTAGACATTCCTTTTCAAGTGTTCTAGCAGCATTTGTTGAAAAGACGCTACTTCCTGCTTTAAATTGTTTTGCACCAATATTTCTGGGCTCTCTATTCTGTCCCACTGATCTATAGCTAACTCTCCACTAATCCTAACCTGTCTTAATTATGGTAGCTACATAGTAAGACTTAAAATTGGGTGTTGTGGTCCAATTTTATCCTTTTGCATGTAGACATCCAGTTTTCCCAACACCATTTGTTGAAGAGGCTATCCTTTACTACTGTCTATTTTTATGATTATAAAAATAAAAAAGCCATCTACCAGAGTGACTATTAAAAAGGTATGTAATAACAATGGTTGGTGAGGATGTAGAGGAAACAGAATCGGCATACAGCACTGGTGGGAAGGCAAGAAGGTAAAGTGACTTTGCAAAATGGATTCATAGATTCTTAAAAAATTCAACATAAACCTACCATATGAACCATCAATTCTACGTCTAGATTTTTACCCAAGAAAAATGAAGACATAGGTCCATAAAAATACCTGTACAATAATGTTCATAGTATTAATTTTCTTAATAACCAAAAAATGGTAAGAATCCCAATGTACATAAACTAGTGAATAAATACACAAAATGTGACCATTCGATACAACATGGTATACTGCTAAACATTAAAAAGTAATGAACTATTGATTTATGCTTGAGTGTGAATGAACCAAAAAAATACGTTGTGAAAAAAGCAGATACAAAAAAAGTATTGTTTCGTTCCCTTTATATAAAATGTCCAGAGAAGGCAGAATAAGAGGAATGGAAGGTAGATGAGTGGTGGCCTGGGGTTGGGGGTGGGAAGATGGCACGAGCTCCAGGGGCAGGAAGGACATGTTTTGGGTGAGTAAACACTTTAAATTCGTACTGTGGTGGTAGCTGCTTTTCTCTCTATATATATGTATATATATATATATTTTTTGTTTAAATTACTATATTATACCTAAAACTGATTAGTTCAGGTACATAAATCCCAACAAACTGGTTTTTCAAAAGAACAAAATGGCAAGTTTTCTATCCAAACTCCCTTTCATTACCAAAATGTCAGGTTTAAAATATTCTTGAATTTCCTGTGTCTCATTTCCACCGTGTCTGAAATGTAGAGCCGCTGTCTAAGTAACAAGATGCTCAGGAGAGCGAAGGCAGATAACATGTGGGAAGCTGTTCCAGAGCTTTTGTGCAGAACAGTCATGCAGTGAAGGAGCATTTCCATTCGTTGGTGCATAATAACTTTAATCAGTACATTTCAATTCCTAGGGAGCAGTGACTATCTCTGCTTTTGCTCACCATCTTGTTTCTAGCCTCGGACATAGGGCATGACACATAGTAGGGCTTTAATTAAGTGGAAATAATAAAAAAGAATACACAAAGGAATATACCAGCATTCACTGAAGAATTTTTTAGAGAGACATTTACAAAAAGAAAGGTGGTACAATTGAACAAAAGTGTGTTGATAATGTTGTTCTACAAATTAGCATTCTAATGCGTACTTTCCATCAGAGCCAGATCAGAGATGCTAAGTGATTTAATAGCCCCAAATTGATTGCTTTTTACATCTAAAAACGTTTATTGAAAAAACCAGTGTGCCTGGCATAGTATATGTCACAGATGTCTAGTTGTCATCCTACACTCAATCTACATTTCTGCCATTACATTCAAAGTTTGAATGAGCCTTTGGACACACAGCTAAAGCCCTCTTCTGGTGGCTGGCAGGTGGTGACTAATGGAGAGACATCTCACTTGGACCTGATAAAAGAAGTCCTAAGTCAATGAAGGCACTGTTGCCTGCCATCCCAGGACCACCCATCTACTTCTCAACTGATTTATGACCAAGAATGAAAAGCATATAAGTTTTTTCCAAATCTCATAAATCTTAGCTTATCTTTCCATAGGTTCACATTCATTCAATTATAGACGTATCCTAGGTCTTAGAGGCGAAGCCAGTGTTCTCTAAGATCCATGATCATAATATAACCTGCGGTGCTTGTTGGATTTTCAGTTTCTCAGAAATCTCTCCTGCAGGCTCTGAATCTTTAGAACAGAGAGAATCCAAGTCATCAGCACTTTTTGAACACCTACGTAGTGTACTACTGGGTCACTTTTGGAAAATCTCTCTTTAATTATAGGTATCAAAAATGTATGTCTTGGTGCCTGCCCAGTGGTGCAGGGGTTAGGTTCGCACATACTGCTGTGGCGGCCCAGAGTTTGCTGGTTCAGATCCCAGGTGTGGACCTACACACTGCTTGGCATTCATGCTGTGTCAGGAGTCCCACATATAAAGGAGGGAAAGATGGGCATGTATGTTAGCTCAGGGCCAGTCTTCCTCAGCAAAAAAGAGGAAGATTGGTGGCAGATGTTAGCTCAGGGCTAATCTTCCTCAAAAAAAAAAAAGTAAGAAAGAAAAAGTGTGTATGTCTTAACTCCTTACCCAACCAAATACACAAGGGCCTTTTAATAAATATAATGCCATTTAGCATTTTATCAAGCAAAATATTTAGGATTTCAAATTGTATTAGGTTTTCCACTATTAAACATGTAATTAAGATACTAGTTTTTCAAACTGTCATGGAAGAAT